AATATTTATTATACAGAGTGGCCAGTAAGCTCTTTGAGTCATGGGCTTATAGGAACTTGTGTTATTTAAAACTTAATATTTAACCAATTTGCCAGTAAGCACCTCGTTTTATTGGGTGATAGGAACTTGTGTTATTAAAAATTATTTATTTAACAGAGTGGCCAGTGAGCGCCCCAAGTCACTAAGTGATAGGCGCTTGTGTAATTTATTAACAATTAATTATTTGAAAAAGTGGCCAGTAAGCACCCCGGGTCATGAGGTTATAGGCGCTTGTGTTATTTTAATAATTATTTATTAAACAGAGTGTCCAGTAAGCGCCCCGGGTCATCAAGTGATAAGCGCTTGTGTTCTTTATTATTAATTAATTATTTCAAAGAGTGGCCAGTAAGTGCGTTCAGTATATTAGTAAATAATATTTCTTAGTACAAAAAATATTTGAGCGTACTGTGTCGTTGTGGTAAATGCCTTCATTTATTATTCAATAATTTTTCTTATTGAAAAAGTGAAGAACAATTAAGCGCACCGGATTATTGGGATATAGGCACTCGTTTATTAATTAAGCAAAATAATAAGTTAATTGCGTTGTGCTTGTCATTTTTTGAAAAATAAAAAAAAAAATTGCTAATAACCTGACGATTATTATTCTGTTTATTATAGTTCAACGAATGCTCAACTGCATTTATAAAGCTTATCTTTCTTTCAGGAAGAAAAAGCGGGAAGGGTAATACGCGCAGCTCTTTTCCGTGTTAGCAGTGTACAACTATAGCTATAGATACATAGCCCGTTGTATGCATATACATATAGGTTTAGGTTCTCATCCATCTCTATCTCCATCACCGATGCACATATTTGGATTCTCATGTCTCCCTCACTGATTTGCCCTTACCTCTCTCCGCGAGCCGAGCCTACAAGCCGCCAGCCAAAAGAAACCGTGTGCCCAGTTCCTCTGCTGGCCACGATGGATTGGCGCTCGAATCAGCGCCAAAACATCGGCACACTCTTTAACATATAGGCACTGGCAATCTCCATACTTATCTCTGCTTTAGCAGAGCCTTTCGGCGTTGTGCTTGGATCCTTAGCTGCACAATTACGCTTTTCGAGCTACTGCGCATGTGTGACGCATCGATGGCTATAGCTGCTCAAATACCGTAGTTTACGCACTATTTTTTAATATTTTGAATAGTTGTTACATGCAAAAAGATTGACCAAATCTAAAGGGAAAAAATTTTGGATCGTACAATAAACCTTGAGCCAAAAAATCGTGTCAGTTTGAAGTTTAAAATTCAGACATAACGGCCAGAATGCGTAAAACACTACAGGAATCGTATCTCGGCTTCTACTAGAGATATTGGCCAGGTGCATGTCATGCAGCACCACTCTTGGTGTCAAAATCATGCAACTGCGGGTACCCACATTATACATCAACAGCATACTACAACAGCATCAATTTTAGCAAAACTTTAAGCAAAAAAATAGAGCCAGTCCGAAATCTAAAAATCAAATATAACTGCCAGAATGCATAAGAAACTGAAAGTATTGTATATCGGCTTCTGTTGGTCCGATATAAATTTTTTTTTTAATTTATATAAAAATAAGTTTAATTAATTTCACTAAGTTGTTTTTGTATAAGTCAAAAATTCCAAAAAAAGGCCTTGAACTTAAGGTGTTTGTTAATAACTTTTTTATTTGTTTATTTAAAAAGTCTAATTTTTTGGCAGTCAAGACAATATTATTCCTCATTGATTCCAAGTTAGATATCGATGCCATGTCCGTGACACATTTTATACAAAATCGAAATTTTTAATTAACAACTGTCCAATAGGCCGACATTTCCAAATTTTGCGATCAGACAAGTACATTAAATAACATATTAAAGTCAAAAAATTTTTTGATTTTCATTCAATTTTGAATATTGCAACATGTATTTTCATGCATTTTAATTTATTTGCGTTTTTCGGCTTTTTCACTTGTTTACACAATCGAAAAAATTATTTAATTTTTTTAACCATTAATTCTTTATGTTAAATAATCAGGTTAACATTTTTTGCGTTTAATATTTTGCTCCAAAACTGAAACTTTCCGAGATATTTTATAAAAACTGACAAAAAGCCTTTTTTCAAGTTACTTTGCGGTAGTAAACAATGACGCGCATTTCTGTCGAAGTCGAAGATTTAGGGTGTTATTTAACGTATTTTTCTTCGAATTTTAAGCTAAACATCGTATTGTTATACCTGTAGTTGGATGGTTTGAAAGCCATATTGGCCTCGAGCGCAATTCCGAAATTGCACCCCCACTGGGAACTTTGGGAACGGTTGGTCATAATGAAAAAAAGACAATACTACTTATGAATTGATTTCTATATACTTGCAGAAAAGCAATGTTTGAGGCTTGGCTACCTGGCGAATGGCGCCGGAAGCTTGATTTCATATTAATGTCCTTTTCTACCTTGTTGCTAAGCGTGAAATGATAATTAGCTGATAATGATAAATTATATTATATATTATCGATTATAATCGACTGACTTATTGGCATGATATTCACGTGACATTCACCCGATTTTCTTACAATGATCACCTGATTTTCCCCTGTTTTTCACCTGATGTGTCATTGGTGACAATTTGATGAATATCACGTGAATATCATGTAAACATCAGGTGAGTTTTGCTTGAAGCTTACTGAATAGAGTTTACTCAATTTTTCACATAAAATTTACTTCATATTCAGCTGATTTTTACCTGATACTCAGCTGATTATCATTAATAACATATCAGGTGATAAGCAGCAGAAAATCAGGTGACAATCATGAGAAAATTGGATAAATATCAGGTAAATATCATGCCAAAATGCCAGGTGATTATCATCAGACGTTTAGCAGCCGGGTAATCATGGCCAATTGCTCATAAAGTCTCTTGGGCTCGCAATTGAAAAATTTTGCTCGAGACCAATAAAATAAGGTCCTTTTGGCTCTGTAAAGTAATTAATACCTCTATCAAATCTGAGGCCGTTTTTCACTGTGCTAATAACGATAGCAATATACATGCAAAAAACACAGTATTGCTGAGCCTCTCAGGCACAATTCTTAGATGGCTTTAACGTAAAAAAAAAAAAATTGATGTCACATAACATAACTTCAAAAATCTGAACGTATTGATTTTCTGTCACAAAATTCTTAACTACCTCAATAACAGCTGGTATGTGACCAAGACGATAAACACTAGACGCTATAAAATCTAGAATCGACATGTTCAGGCTAGATGGATATTTTTATCAAGAGCCATTTCAAATTAAATTTAATTACACCCAAAGATGATAGTTTCTATGTTAAGTGTACACTTAATAATTATTGTATGAAAACATTTTCATACACCTTGAAATAGGAATATTGGCTACTCACATAGCAATGCATCCACATATTTGACTAGCAGGTAAATGTTCAATTTGATAGATAAACTCATACCTTCATTAGACAAACTTAAAATTTGGGATACAGCAAATAACTCAAATATCCTGCAGAATTAAGAGCATCTTATTTACATCAGTATATAAGTTAATTTATTTTGCAGTATAACACATGTCGACAACAATAACAAGAGTACTACATTTATATTAATAATAGCAATAAAAGTAATAATAATAACAGCAATACTGAACTTTTAACTTGTAGTTGAAGAAATTCGTTGTGTCTATTTGCACCAAATCCATGTTAACACGTGGATATACCACACTACTCCTAGTTTTATCTGTACTGAATAATATCCACATATTTATGTGCATTAGGTGCAAATAGACCCAATATAAATAATTATAACTTACTGTGGATCCTTCAATATTTTCAAGTACTTGCGCCAATTCAGATTGAGTTGCTTTTAGTGACTGAGAATCCAAAAGATTTTTTTGTTCTGTATTTAAATCATCTAAAACTATGCCTTTACTACCATCACAGTTTAATGAATTAAGAAGGGATCGTTGCTCACTTAGTAATTGACATAACTGATACATTTCACTTTCAAGATGAGAAATTTCTTTGGCTGTTTCAATGAATTGTTTGTAATTCTGGTAAACATTTTTTTTTAATAATTTGGATGTAAAACTTAACAGATCTTGAATCTTAGCTTTTTGTTGTCGTAATTCATCAGCACCAATGCATTGACAGCTTATATCTTTAACATCTACAAAAAAAATTATTCTTAATCTATTGTAAAAGTAGAATTTTAATTATGTTCAAAAAAAATTGAAGAGCTTATATCATATTAAGTTGCTCAAATTAGCTTGGTATTTTTTTTGAAACAGTAGAACATAATTCTACGAGATTAAGTTTAAAGTTAAAACACTTAAATCATCTGAATGGTAAATAGCACTATTTAAATTTTACTACTTATTACATTATTTTTTTCTATCTTATTGACTATTATAATACTTCAGATATTCTTAAAAGATGTTAATGGTCGATTAAACTAAAAAAATAAAATAAAATGAATAAATCTTATTTAATGCGTTTTAATAAATAAAGCTCGTTACATCGCTCTGGATTAAAATTAATTGATACAAATAACTTTGTCAATGATTGAGACATAATTGTTATATGACTGACACAAAAAGTGTAAGTTTTATTTTATATTCTTTAGAGATTTTTAAATATTGCATTAAAGTTATATGCAAATCCTTTTAATAGAAAGTATCCTATTGTGTGCCATAACAATACAGATTCACGTACATAGTCTATGACTATAGAACTGAAGCGCTGCACAACGGCGCATGAGCTATAGCGTGAGAACTTTATAAGTTACTACCTGGTTACTACTGTAATGATAACGTAATTAGGAATTGAGGATAAAAATTGCTTGAAAATTATGTTCATATAATAAAAAATTAATAAGAATTTTTTTTTTTAACAGTTATTTACATAATTATTATGTATTATTATATTGCGTGGCGCGTCAGTTCTTTAGTCATAGACTATGTGCCTGATACACTTGGTAAAATAACGCTGGGTCCGTGGTCCGTACCATATAACTATTTTTTGCTTTGCAGGCCTATGTTATAACATAGGCCGATGTACTGAAAAATAGTTACATGGTACAACCCCAGATATTCATCTAATTTAATATTTATGAGGTGTTGTTTTGACCCTTAGAGCATAATATCCTCTATGTTATATCCATAGAGATGTAAGATAATCCATATATATCTCTATGGTTATATCATCTGGGTCCGTACCATATAACTTTTTTTTACTCTTCGAGTCTACGAGCCTATATTATAACATAGGCCTGCGAAGCAAAGAAAAGTTATATGGTATGGCCCCTGACTCCCCTGAGTATCTATAACCCATATCTAACCCACCCTCTCACAAATCAATTAATCGACTATCGATATCGACCTACATCGATAACTTAAGGTCGTATCACAGTTTAGATAGTAGCGACACTCCACACAAAATTGTGTTCCTAGATAACCAGATTTCTTAGTGCACATGTTATTTCGTGCCACTAAGAACATGGTGGGAAGACGCGCATCAGAATCCAAAAATCGTCGAAAGTAGAACTGGCTGATATTAAAATTTTAATTTTTTTATTTTTTCCTTGACTAAAGAATGAGTGTATAAGGCAAATTTTGTTAAGAATGTGTAATTTACTAAATATTCAGCTTAAAAAGTACTCATGATATCTGTTACAATATTGTATATTAATGTACGTTAGCATTCAAATTTTCGCGGACTCACGGACTGTGCGACCAGGAACATGGCGCCTACCTGACAAGAAATGACCACTAGACGGCCGTAGCTGGACACCAGGCCCTGGCCAGGCGGCCTGGACAGTCCCTGTTCAGTACTGTAATGAAGTTTTCCGCCTTTTAACCTCAAAATAGCGGCGCACCTTCGCCGCTTGATTTTGGGTTCTTAGACGGAAAAATAGTATACGAAACTCGTTCGAAAAGGCTTCTTTACAAACCTCGTTACGGCCCTCGCCTTCAGCTCGTGTCGTAAACTTCTCGGTTCGTGAATCGAGGCCTTTGCAAACTCGTACGTAATATATTATATCGAAAGGGTATGGACAGACCCTGATAATGGAATTCGTATATAGGTGTAATAAACAACCTTCAACCTTTGAGACGTGACACTTACATTCACATATACACATGTATATGTACACACACGCAAGCTTCCATTGATTGATCGTCTGTTTGTTTATGCTTGTTCATTCGTTGCTATCTATAAGTACAATAAACAAAAGTTAAATGACTAAAAGGAAAAATTGGAAGAGTGCGCAAATTTTGAGAAAAAAAATTAAGCTTAATATACTTAGTATGATTACTACGAGTACGAATACAAGAAAAACAAATAACACATGTTAAACTGCTTTGTGAATAACAAACAATTTGATCAAGACAGTATTTCTGAGTTTGTAACTATTGTGATAATAATGTAAAAATAAAAAAAAATTAGATTTGTACAAATTAAATCATCATTTTTTTATGTTTCTAAGAATTAAACTTTGTAAATCACTAAACAGTGTTCAATAAAGCAGCAATAATCTGCTTATAAGATTTATCCTTATCATTTGCTAAAATTGTTCATCGTTGTTTTCTATCTAAAAGCGTTGAATATTCTTATACATACCATAACCCCTACTGTAGTAAGTAGCACTGTTGGTAAGGTAGATATATGTTATTATACATATATACATGTACCCTGGCCAGGCCTAAATCATAGCCTGCGGTCAACCTCATTACACCTTGAGACTTGTGAAGTTGGCGCCCGTAAATATTAAATATTAATATTTTGCACCCATTCAGGGCTTAAACGATTCCTCCTTACTTGCGGATTTATCCTCCATTTGAATTTTTATTGGCGGATCAATAGTTTGCGAAATATTTGCAAAATAAAAAGTCAAAAATGGGCGCGGCGCTGAAGTATAAAAAACTTTGTTTTAAGTGCTAAATTGGGTTAAAATCCAATTCTACCTATACGATTCCTCCTCATTTGTGGATTATGGAGATATATAAATTAATATAATTGAATGTCACAAAGTTTGTAAATAATGAATTTAATTATTGAGTGAGAGAATCTAGTAACTGCTAAATTGGGTTAAAATCCAATTCTACCTATACGATTCCTCCTCATTTGTGGATTATGGAGATATATAAATTAATATAATTGAATGTCACAAAGTTTGTAAATAATGAATTTAATTATTGAGTGAGAGAATCTAGTAATTTTTGTCTAGTGACTTTTGGTCCCGTGCTCCGTTCCTGTTATTCGGTACATGTCGTTTACTCCGAACAGCGGGTTCTACAAAATATTTATCAGAAAAGAAAACTTTAGTAGGTATTAATCCATTAATTATTAGTTTTAAGTTATTCAGCTTTTGGGTCAATACACACACACATACATTACATACTTCAAACTAAAGGAAAAATTTATTTGTCAATAGGTACAGATTTTTCATTTTAAGAATCTAATATCTGAAATCTGTTGTGGCAAACACTGTGGACTGATATTTATTCATTACACGCGAAATTTTAATATTTGTTGTTATTCAAGAAACAAATAACAACACAACTAAAAAGTAGCAGTACAGTTATAATTATTACAAGACAAGCCACAGCTAAGCACACAAGTATTAATTTTGTTTGGACAAGTTTTAGAAAACAGCTCAAGCATTCAAATTTCGCGCGTAAATGATCAATCAGGCGAATTGAAGATCAAGTTACCGACCAGTGGAAACGGATAAAAGTGACAAAGGCTGTGTTCGCCTAAGGCTCTGTTTGTTATTAAGTCTATTAAGGTCACGTGATCATTTATCATATGTGCAAGGGAAACAGCATGATGTCACCGTCTCACTCGCACTTATCATAAATGATCACGTGACCTTAACATACTACAAACGGAGCCTATGCAAACACAGCCCCAGTAATAAGGTTACAAGTACTTAATTTAAAAAAATGTTTATTAAATGGGTTTACACAAGATTGCATAGTCATCGAAAAATGTGTGTGTGTGTGCATGTGTGTGTATTGACCCAAAGGCTGAATAACTTATAACTAATAATTAATGGATTAATACCTACTAAAGTTTTCTTTTCTGATAAATATTTTGTAGAACCCGCTGTTCGGAATAAACGACAAGTACCGAATAACAGGAACGGAGCACTGGACCAAAAGTCACTAGACAAAAGTTACTAGATTCTCTCACTCAATAATTAAATTCATTATTTACAAACTTTGTGACATTTAATTACATCAATTTATATATCTTTATAATCCGCAAATGAGGAGGAATCGAATAGTATAGGTAGAATTGGATTTTAACCCAATTTAGCACTTAAAACAAAGTTTTTTATACTTCAGCGCCGCGCCCATTTTCGACTTTTTATTTTGCAAATATTTCGCAAACTATTGATCCGCAAATAAAAATTCAAGTGGAGGATACATCCGCAAGTAAGAAGGAATCGTTTAAGCCCTGAATGGGTGCAAAATATTAATATTTAATATTTACGGGCGCCAACTTCACAAGTCTTACACCTTGTGATAAACTCTACATTCAAGCTCAGGCCCTGGATGTAAGGCTTGTCTGGCCAGGCCCTGGTCTTAGAATTTGGATCATAATATCACATTCTTTTCGGGTAGCGGAGCGGACACTTTTTAGTACGGAGTGTCGCAACCATAGAGATATAAGGATAGAGAGTACTAAACCCACATAACCCTGTCCCGTGATGTTTTCATTGGTGCGAGAGAGAACGCTGCAAAGTTACCACAGGGTCCGTATAGTAATCATGCAGCGGTCTCTCTCACACTGTGGGACACAGCTTAGTACAGGGTCCCATAGGTTTGGCGCACTCTATTCTTATATCTCTATAGCCGTAACTGTATAAACTGTAGTTGTGTGTATTCCATAGAGATATAAAAATAGAGTGCAGAAGTGGCCAAATTTCGCGATACAGGCGAAGAGAGAGACAGACGCCGACTATTTTTCTATCTGTCTCTTGCAGAGCGCTGTGATTAGATATTCTCGCTCGAATTAAACAGCTGTTGGTATAAGTTAACTGGAGCAAGCAGCAGACACACGATGCTTCCACTTGCAGACCAGAATAAGGTCCCACCCCCGATTATCGATCCGATTTAGTATTTAAATAGAACCACGCCCTGCGAGCTCGTCTTCTTTTATTGTAAAAACTGCTGAATACAATCACATTTATTTTGCTGTCCACGCGCTGCACGCTGCATTCAAATAATCGTGCGCTTAATTTACGTCGAAAAGCCATGACATAACAATTGGGGGCTCTTCCTTAAAAAACCGCTACTATTTCCATATTTACAATGGACAACCGCAACGCTGACGCACTCAAAATTCTATCCACTCACAATAGTGGGATCGAATTATTTGAAATGTCAGTGATTTTTAATGAAATGCAGACGAGTTACAAAAAAATTTGGTGTATAAAATTAAACAATGACAATCGATTTTAATAAAATTGAACAAAAAATATTTTCCGCTTAGGCTTAAAAAAATGGCAAAAGTGATAAATCGCGGTTTTTAGCGTCGGAAATAAACAATAAGCCTTAGAATAAAAAAAAATTAACAAAAATGTATGGGTGTCAAAAAGATGAACAAAATGAGCTCTGGTCGATCCCAATGGATCTAGTGGTTTCCCCACAAAATGCAAGAAA